ATACTTTAAGGAGAATGATATATATATATATATATATATATATATATATATATATATATATATATATATATATATACACAGAGTTTTTTATTCTATTTTAAATTTTTTTAAATTGAATGAATGTTTATTAGGATTTTTGTAAACACTTCTTAATCTTGGGATAATTTTTTAACTTAGCTTGTTACAATGCATTTTGAGGTTGCCTCCTCAGCAACGGATTCATGCTGTGCTGCCTTAGAATTTGGCCTAGAGAAGATATGTTATTAGGCCGCATAATTAATATACCAACATCTTAAAACAGCCTTCTCAATGGGAGAGCGCCTAAAATGTCTTAAGATGCGGCCTAGCTCACTAGGTTTTGGAACAGAGCTACGGGGTCTTTAAGCAGCGAAATACACATGCTGTGCTCCGTGAAAGCGCATATGCATCTGTGTGTGGTGTGCAGCTCAATGGGGAATATTAGATGTGATGATTTCAAAGAGAAAGAGTGACTGAGAGAGATGGTATGCTAGAATGCTGATGGGGCCTGGGAGTAAACTGCCATACAAGCCTTTAATCTGGAGGTAGCTCATTGTGCTCCTGGGCACGTCAGAGAAGCGTAAGTAGCTGTGTGAATTATGGGATGCCGACCATGGGGGGTAGCGTGCGGTATGAGCATGAAGAGAAAGATATGTGCGAGCTGATTAATAATGAAGAGTTATAACAGCATGGCAAAGCTTAGGCAAACATCTCTGCAGACTGTCACGCCACATAGAGCGGAACTGCTGCCTCCATCTGCTGGAGCTCATGTCCAGTAGCACCAGCATGCTGATGTGAGCGGTAATGGAGATGATGATGGCATCTGAAATCACCCAGATGGGATGGCTGGCATCTCTCTGGAGGACATTAGTGAACTGGCGTATTTGTGCGGGACCCTGTCTATGCCTGCGTGAGGTGTGTAGGAGGGCGGGAGAGGACACATGGCGAGAGAGGAGGAAATCATTCATTTTGTGACCCGTGTGTTCAGTTATGGAGAGACCTTGAGCATAATGTGTGTGTGTTTCTGTCTGTTAGAAGACAGTTTTTAAATGTGACGCTGTGATGAATCAGAGGTGAAAAGGGAAACCAATAATAATGGTCAAAACAACATGATAATAGATTATGATGTAGTAGCCCCATGAAGCAGTAGACGGGAAGACCTGTTCCCCTTTCTGCCTTTTTATGAGAACAGATGTGTATGTTTGTCCAACGTTCCATTTGCAGTAGTAAATAAATATTATACACAATAATGGAGTTCTTGTAACATAGAGCTAGCCCTTAAAATGGGGAAAGAGAGAGAAAGATATTTCTTTTGTACTATTATTATTATTATATTTTGATTGTTAAAGAAGTGTGAAATGTTTGTCAGAATAGCATCACCTGACTTCTGTTCATTTTTAAACAGATAGCCCCGCCTCCAAACTCTTGCCATTGGTTGAGGCATTGTTGCTGTGTCAGACTGGCTGAGGTGCACAAAGCAATGGTTTGATAGCACCACAGAGCAGAGGCGGACAGTAACTAAGTACATTTACTTGAGTATTGTACTTAAGTACACTTTTTGAGTATCTGTACTTTACTTGAGTATTATTTTTTCTGGGAACTTATGACTTTAACTTCACTACATTTGAAAGACAAATATTGTACTTTTCACTCCACTACATTTCTACCAAGGTCCTCGAAGTAGAAAGTCGGTACTATGTAGCAGCTTTGAAAGTCAGTGGGTGATTTTTTTTCTTCTCTAAAACATGACTTTCTTTTTTTTCAGACAGTTTATAATCACTCTCGTAGGGCTACAGGAAGTGATTTCCCTGCAAATGTGATATTTATTTACAAAAATTCAATAATAAGAAGTTAATATTGTGGTATATATTAAGACACAATATTGTCTGATTTTGCTAATTGTGTACGTGAAAATATTACCCATAAAGCCACAGAAGAACTGTTGTGCATCTCCTAATAAAACACAAAAGGTGTTTGACTGAAGCAGCACTGCACAGACTGGTCTGTGTGTAACACCAAAGTACAGCGAGAGCGATTAGACAGCATTAAAAATGTTTGTTTTGATGTCAAATAAGTCTTGCTGTTTTGCTTTTTTGTTAAAGCAGTGTTGCTGTTGTAAAGTTGTACAGCTACAGTTGTGTTGCTGGGTTTTAAAGCAGGTTTGATTTTTTTATCTTCCTTATCACTCTGTAGTGTATTCAGCAGGTGTAATGTATTCTAAGTTGCTTCAGAAGTATTGCAAGTATTACGTACAACAATAAAACAGTGCATTGACATAAAAAAGGAAATTTACTTTTGGTACTTAAGTACTTTTAAAAGCAAGTACTTCTGTACTTTTACTAAAATCTGTCTGTTAGAAAACACTCTCTGTCTTTCTGTTGATTCCAGACATGTCTTACCCCTCCTTTCTCCCTCTCTCTCAGTCTTATATATACAACGCATTCTTTCTGAATCCCTCCTTCTGTATCCATCTCTCTCTCTTGATATTATGTTTTAAATATGTCTTACTTATATGCGAAGTATGCATGCTTAAATGTATACATTAGCTTCTCTTGTTTTTCTGTCCCCAATAAAGACATGAATGTTATGACTACAAGGGTAAAGGAGTTCGTGATGAAACCATGAAGACAGTTCAGCATTCTTCGCAAAAGTCTATTCCTAATATGTCCATGTTTTTCTGTACATGTGGCTATTTTATATAAACACATGTTCTTGGCCAAAGATCCTACGTGTATGTTATTCATATCCTCATTGGTTAAGAGGATGAAACTCCCCTCGACATATGCCTATATAATATCTGTATTTCTATGAATAAATTGAAGTATTGAGGATACATTTGACTGTGTTTTCTTACTTCCCGGCCGTATCTACACTTTAAGTAACTAAGAATTGTTCAAGGTGGCAAAGAGAATTTACAAAGGGACCAAATTGTTATTCTTTATTAACACTGTCTTTACAACTTTTACTTGTAATGGAGTAATATTTGACCAGCAGTATCTGTACTTTCACTCACAGTAATGGAGTTGAGTACTTTGTCCGCCTCTGCCACAGAGACACAGAGTTTATATACTTTTTGAGAAAATAAACCTGAATGGCATACTTATACTTATTTCTGCATATTAAGAGGAGGAAGTATTTGACCAAAAAATATTTACATATTTTAGCCCCATGAAATCTACATTTGTTTTGTCACTTTTAGTTCATATTCCAGAGGTGCCTACACTTTTTACAACAAAAATAAACTTGATCATGGGCCAAAAGTAAAGTAAATGTGGCATTATATATAGTGTGTATATATATATATATATATATATATATACGTACATTTACATTTAGTCATTTAGCAGACGCTTTTATCCAAAGTGACTTACAAATGAGGACAATAAAAGCAATCAAAACTAACAAAAGAGCAACAATATGTAAGTGCAAATGACAAGTCTCGCTTAGCCTAACGCAGGTAGGATAGAATAGAAAAAAATAGAAAGCTAGTGTTAGTTTTCTTTTTCATAAAAAAAAGATAAATAGATAAAGTAGAATTAAAATAGAATAGAAAGTGCTAGAGTTAGAGGGTCAAATAAAGATGGAACAGATGTGTTTTTAGTCGTTTCTTGAAGATGGCTAAGGAATCAGCTGCTCGGATTGAGTTGGGCAGGTCATTCCACCAGGAGGGAACAGTTAATGAAAAAGTCTGTGAAAGTGATTTTGTGCCTCTTTGAGATGGCACAATAATTCATCGTTCACTTGCAGAACGCAAGCTTCTAAAGGGCACATAAGTCTGAAGTAATGAATTTAGGTAAAGGGGTGCAGAGCCAATGGTGGTTTTGTAGGCAAACATTAATGCCTTGAATTTTATACGAGCAGCTACTGGTAGCCAGTGCATATTGATGAACAGAGGTGTGACGTGCATTCTTTTCGGCTCATTAAACATTAATCTTGCAGCTGCATTTTTGATTAATTGTAGAGGTTTGATAGAAGTGGCTGGAAGACCTGCCAAGAGAACATTGCAATAGTCCAGCCTGGATAGAACAAGAGCTTGAACAAGGAGTTGTGAAGCATGTTCTGAAAGAAAGGGCCTGATCTTCCTAATGTTGTATAAAGCAAATCTGCAGGACCAGGCAGTTTTAGCAATGTGGTCTGAGAAATTCAGTTTATCATCAATCACAACTTTTCTAGCTGTTTTTGAAGGAATTATGGTTGATGAGCCTAACTGGATGGTAAAATTTTGATAAAGTGATTGGTTTGTTAAAACCACAAGCAGTTCTGTCTTAGCCAGGTTGAGTTGAAGGTGATGGTCCGCGAATGCCCACTTTTGAAGCAAGATTGGTTGCTGTCCAAGAGGTTGTTCTGTGTGAGAAAGGCAGATACTTGGTTGAACACAACTCGTTCAAGTGTTTTTGCAATGAAAGGTAGAAGGGAAACCGGTCTGTAGTTCTCTGAAAGAGTTGGGTTAAGAGTGGGTTTCTTAAGAAGTGGGGTTATACGAGCCTGTTTAAATGTTGAGGGAAA